GGTCAACAAATTACGGGATCGTAAAGGATCAACAAAATACGGGAGCGTAAAGGATCTACAAAATACGGGAGCGTAAAGGGTAAACAAATTACGGGAGCGTAAAGGATCAACAAAATATGGGAGCGGAAAGGATCTACAAAATACGGGAGCGTAAAGTCTAAAGGATCTAATCTTAATTAGATTCTAGAGATCAAAGTATCAAAATACAATTAAAACACTAAAATGAAGACAGGAGCTAAATATACATGCATAATACTGACTGAGTATTCAAACAGCGCTCGCTTCGTAATGGGAAGGTATTGAATTCGCATCTCTACCTCGACTGAGCTGAGTCGATAAGAAATAGGTACACGTGTAGTAACTGTTCCTTCAATCATAGTGCGCTCGGCGCTTTGTAGTGAAAGTTGCAGGTTCTTCGAATCGAGCTAGCCCCTCCTTACGGTAGGCGTTGGCACGATAAAGAACAGTCGTGTACGGCTCAAATGGTCCTGAGTGCCCTTCCTCGATGTATGGGGACGTCTTTATATGTGTTTAAATTTTCTCTCTTAGTAAACCATCAAAACTTTTTGTTTCTGTAACACTTTGTATCTCTAGGCCTATATGACTTCTTTACCATATGTGAAATAAAATAAGAAAAAAATTATATATACATATATAGGAAGCATAAAAAATAACTAATATATCCTAAAATTTAATAAAAATAGAGAAAAATTTTGATTAGCCAATATCCATGTTAGTTACATTATTAATTGTCAATTTGGTAATATCTTGTAGACCAGACCTAAATTGTACGTAATATTTTTATGCGCAAAGAAAACCATTTTTAAAATCTTTTGAAATAGAAGCAGGCATTAAATGATCTGCAGCAGTAACAGTGTATTTATTTTTTTTTTATTCTTTATGACTAAAGGAAAAGGTAATGACCTCAAGTGATCTGACATTAAATTACCGCTAATATAAAACGGTAAAATTTAATGTTATGAAACATATGGAGATAACGAACAGCATTCAAGATCAAAATTCCAAACGAACAGTATTCAAGATCAGAAGTCCATAAAACAATACAAAACAGGAGCTTAGCAAACACGGACCTACCAAACAACAGAAGTGGGATCAGGTGCCATTGAGGAGTGAGCATCCCCTGCCGACCAGTCACACCCGTCGTGTGCTCCTTCGGGAAATAATGGGAAAATCCGTCGTCAATTCAGTGTATAAATAATGGACTAAGAATTAGTATGAAAAACTTTAGTCAGTTTTAACTCCATGATGAATTGTATTGCTGACAAGGTGTATCGACCATAGAACTTATGAAATGAGGAATTTAAACGAAACTGCTGAAATTCTTGTTTCATCAACTTGTTTGTCAGTAATTTACCTCGTTTTAGAAATTGTTCATACGAAGGTTGTCCAAAAATATCGTGGACAATGACGTTTCTGTGAAAATAAATGGTTCTATATAAATCTGTTGTTTATCAAAATATATCTTATGACAAGTCAGAAAGATTTAAATTTTATTGATGGAACGTAAAATTTTTGTAAAGAACGGGGTCTTTAAAGATGGCAGATAGTGCGCACGGACCAAGGTTAAAAATGACATAAACTCTGATATAAAGTGTTTGGATTAAGCGATTATTTTCTATATAAAACAAGTCAAAACTTGATAAAATTTTCCGTAACACAAATATAGAGACTATAATCATTTTACGATATCTTATGTATCGCTTATTATATAGACAGTGCAAATACTAAACAAAAACCCTGACAAACATGTGTCAAAACTCGACAGAAAAAGCGACGAACGGGGCAGCGTCCAATCAAAAAAATATGTTTTAATACGGTTAACACATGTTCATGGACACACAAGTTACATTTCTTTTTTAAGGCGCAACTCACTTCCATACGGTGGTATATTTAGGACACATTAAATTTTTTTTTGAAGATAATAGGAAAAAAATTATCTTGTGAAAACGAGATATTATCTTGTGAAAATGAGATATTATCTTGTGAAAACGACTTATTATCTTGTAAAAACGAAATATTATCTTGTGAAAACATGCGAGATATTGTCTTGTGAAAACGACTTATTATCTTGTGAAACCGAGATATTGTCTTGTGAAAACGGAATATTATCTTGTGAAAACGAGATATTATCTGGTGAAAACGACTTATTATCTTGTGAATACGAGATACATATATTATCTTGTGATAACGGAATATTATCTGGTGAAAACAGACTATTATCTTGTGAAAACGGAATATTGTCTTGTGAAAACGAGATATTATCTTGTGAAAACGGAATATTATCTTGTGAAAACGATCGAGATATTATCTTGTGAAAACGACATATCGACGCTGTGGAAATGAAAGGTCGTAAATGGCATTTTGGTACTTTACAGGAAGCAGTAAAAACTGTTTCTCACGAAATATATTACATGACTGTTGACATAAACTTAACGGATGTTTTATTTTCGTTTTGGACATTTTTAATCCTATTAATACATGAAAATAATTAATACAAGCAGATATTTTGCAGATATGACCTTTAATTAAGGAATTAAGCTTATTTCAACTTTTGGTATACAATATAACATAACTTGGGGCAGTTTACGCTTTATAAACCGCGAAATGTGAATTTCATGGCCTCTGGATTAAAACACGAACCAAATTCAATTTTTGGAAAGTTGTTACATGATATACTCAGGTGACCTATAAGGCCCTTAGGCCTCTAGTATTTGAATGAAATACGATCGGAAATTTTTAAATTTAAGAATACAATGTACATGCATTTTTCGCTTTAGCATCCGTTAACGTTGAATAAAGAACAGAGGTGTCCCAATTACATCATTGTATTGTGAAACATTTAGATGTAATTTCAAGCATTCCTTAATGATACATGTATCATCTAGCTCTTGTATACTCTTCATCCATATGCCTACTTGAAAAAGAATAGCAAAATACTAAATAAGGTAGTTTAATGTATGTAACATATTTTAAACCAGAAAAAAATATGACGTTTTCACAAGAAAATAAGTCGTTTTCACAAGATAATATCTCATTTTCACAGGATTATATTCCGTTTTCATAAGACAATAAGTCGTTTTCACAAGATAATATGTCATTTTCACAAGATATTATGTCATTTTCACAAGATAATATATCGTTTTCACAAGATAATAAGTCGTTTTCACAAGATAATATCTCGTTTTCACAAGATAGTAAGTCGTTTTCACAAGATAATATCTCGTTTTCACAGGATAATAAGTCATTTTCGCAAGATATATCTCGGTTTCACAAGATAATAAGTCGTTTTCACAAGATAATATCTCGTTTTCACAAGATAATAAGTCGTTTTCACAAGATAATATCTCGTTTTCACAAGATAATTTTTTTCTGGTATTTAAAAAAAAATAATTGCGTGTCCTAAATATACCACCGTACTTCCAAGTGCTAGCAATAATCTTTAAGTATAGATTATGATTTATTTAATTTTTAAAAATTTTTAAAATTCAAAACAATGCACAAAAATTACGAGCGTCATCTATATAAACAGTTTGTATACACAAACTGCACAGCCCAGTCCGACGCTGTGCTAGCGTTCTGAATAGAAATCTCCATATTCAGTAAATTACATTCTTGTAGTGTCAAATTCAGTACACACCGTTATATACCATGTTTTTAATTTTTCAATTTTTGTAGTTGTTTTAACAGATATTTTGTCTCTTACTTCGTTTCACTAAATCCAAATGTTTGAAAAAATAAGTATATACCAATCTCAAATCAATGATTTTTACAAAAAATATTAATCATTCTGACTTGGTTTTTCATATATTTTTCAAATTATATTTTCGCTTTAAATAATGTTTTAACAATATAAGATTTTGTAAATTTTATTTTCTGCCATTCATATGAACCATTGTTGGTTGTTGAAAAATACAAAATGTTTGAACTTGAATGATTGTCTTAATGCGAAAATCGCATTTTATAGCAGAAATCGATATTTACGTTACTGTCGCCGATCATAGTGTAGTTTTTATTTTAAACCAGAAAGAAGTTTACTTACATATCTTTTTCTTAGTAAGATTGTCCTACATTTGAGTTATATTTTCTGAATATCACACCCTTTTCACATATGCGTGTCACAAATTTTTAAAAATTTTAATACATTTATCAAATTTTGATGTCACCGCAAAATTATTATTTTCTACAAAAGGATTTGAAGGATTGCTGAACTTTTGTAACTTTTTAACATCATGAACATTGTTTTTCTGCATTTATAAAAAATAGAAATATTTTGATATTTACGTATTATTATTTATTCACAAATTAAGTAAGAGAACTACACTGTTTCCTATCATAGTATGGGTCAAATTGCCTTATATACACTCAATTTATTTTAACAAAGACGTCATTGTCCACGAACTTTTTGGACAACCCTCGCACGTAGAGCATGCTCTTGCGTATCGAATGAACTGATCGATATATATATATAAACTCCGTATGCAGGTCATGAAAGTTATTGTTGCATAAGTAAGGGAAGTTGACGATAGAAAAATTAAAATCACCACGTTTATCATAGATCTTAATTGGTTGTTAGATTACCCGCGTCTTTTTTCAAGTAAAATATCCAAATATGAAACAGATGTGTCAGAATCTGTCTAACCGATACCATCACTCAGTGATATCGTCTTGTTTTTGATACTGTGAAAATTTCATTAAATTCTAAATGCAAGGAATATGAGCAGAATCCTATCCTATAGATGTTTTGTTTATATTAAAATAAATATTATAATAAATTACCTTCTTTCTTTTTTCGGCAGTACTGGGTACTCGCACGTTAGATTTATATGCTGATAATACGAAATACATTTTATCAGGTATGGTGATGTTGCTTTTGATATTGTGTTTTACAATATAGCTTTCTACACAATCGAAAACAGTCAAATTTCCCGCGTTCTTTTCTTTCACGTTCACTAATGATAACCCCCGAGGATGACTTTCGGTCACTCAGGGCACCTGCTATAAACAATATGGCTGCCGTTAGAAAGTGAAAATTTCTCGATAAGCATCTAACATCAAGAAAGATGACAAAAAGCATCTAATATGTAATTTGTGTGCGTATGTAGATTGAAAAGTTGTTATTTTATAAAAAATGTCAAGTGGAGATAAGGGTCAAATCGGTACAGAGTCGCCACGGCCTCTAAGGAAACGACGAACCCGCATGGCGAACGACAAACGGATCGCGGATGATGAATTTATGGCAGCTGCCATCGGAGACGTGGAATGGCTAAGACAAAGTCTAAGGGAACAAAAAGGAAAGATTAATTTTGATAAAAATGTGAGTATAATGTTAGTATGAGCGATTGAAGGGATGCAAAGTTTATGAATGTTTACAACTCGAATTTCCTCAGTTATTTGTTTGTTTTAAAGCTGGGCATATCCATGACAAGTTTTTTGTTGATTAGAAGGGCATGTTTTTTAAAGATGTCATGCGGGATTTTTTTTCCTACTTAAAGCACGGGCACTGAAAGTTAATGTAAATATATAGTATGTGTATGTATAAAAAAAGTCTTTTTTTCATACATACACATACTATATATATTTACATTAACTTCCAGTGCCCGTGACTTAAAGGAAGTTATACAGTTTGCTTGACATTTTAACATACACTTATCCTGATGAAAAAGATTTTTAGAAATTAAACTTAAATTACAGTAAAATTTGTTCATTTAATTTGCAGATAATTTTAGTTATCTCCATAACTTTCAACATGTACCATTTCTAGTTATACTTATACAATTAACATGTAACCTCTTTTTTCTTTTATTTTATGTTAACTTTGTATAATTATGTATAGATATAAAATTATGTTGAACTAATATGCATGTATTCTCTTACACCACAATTGAACAGATAATTATGAAGATATTTGCAATTGAAACCATGAGTTAAGTGCTTTTGAATGTCAAGTGTATCTTAGTATAGCTGAGTTCAATACATGTAATCAAAGATAAGAATTTTTATTGTTTTGAGAAATAAAGTCAGTTTATTGGTTCATTTCACGATGTTATCTTGAATGCAGTTAACCTTTAGAGCTTTAAATATTGTGTATACCTTGTGTGTGTTGGTAAAACAAAACAAGTCATACAACATTTAAATGACAATATTTGCCACATGTTAAACAGAGGAAGGATAACCAATAATCTCCTTGAATGGCTATCTATTATGAAGTAATTAACAGATTATTATCAAATATTATACTTGATAGTTTAAAGTTAAAGCAAGATCCTCAATAAAATTTCAATGATATGAAATGCAAAGCCAGAAATCTGTTCACCATTTATAGCTTAATTTCCATATTCTATGTGAAGAAGTCTTTGCAGCCCCAATAGAATTTATGAATTATTAAATCCACTATATTTTGTTGTAATATATATATGATCACATGTTCTCAGTGGCATAATTTTAAAGAATTTTAGATTTTTGGTGTTACTGTTGGATTAATTCTGAATTTAAAACATAATTTGTGGTTAAAGTACTTAGATGAGCTTTGGTATCTCAAACTCTGATATCTTGAATAAAATAGGTTTGTCGGAGTCAGTGATTTGAGAGTCCCAACCGTTAATCACTTACTGTATTCTAACTGAAATAACTCGAACTCTTGAATATTTCAAAGTTTTTTTTTCTAATTAAGTCCCATTGAACTTAAGGTAAGTTAAACAAAGTTTGACTGTATACTCAAGTGTTTTAAACTTGAAATTTTGTCTCACATATTTTTCAAGTATTAAATAAAACAGCATAATTTGTTCAAAACAATTGAAGGTAACATATTTTATTTTATTACATGGATAATTTTGTTTTTTGTAACAGGGTTTGTCAGCGGTACACCTGGCTGCTATTCATGGTAGACTGGACTGTCTGAAACTTCTAATAGAGAAATACAAGGTCAACATAAACCTGCCCAGTACGACAGGATGGAGGCCGATACACCTGTGTATCAGCAATCAGACCGGGAAGAGGGCTCTACAATGTCTGCAGTACCTAATCAACAAGAATGCCGATCCATCTGTGTAAGTGCTCATCCATCTTTGTGGGTGATCCTGTGGCCTAATATGGTTATATTGATATGGCACAGTGCTATTGATAATGGAGAATTAAACCTTACTATAGAAATGTTTTACAAGTAAATTTCTAGTCAAATGATATTTTTAGGATTTTGGATGGCGAAGGCAATTTACACATGTAATGCTTCCATTATGTGGGTCTAGGACAGGGCCCTGGTGGGGGTCTCTGGGCGAATATCCCCCAGAAGCTGAAAATTATTTACAAATAAGAGATGTTATTTCATTGATTTTAGGATAATGGACATAGAAATTTTATATACAAAAACTTCAAACGGGAGGGCGCATGCCCCGCACCGACCCTGGATCCGCCTTTGTGAGCAGTAGCTCAGTCCATCACCAGGCCTAATATGGTTGTTAAGATATGGCACATTGCTATTGATAATGGAGAATTAAACCTTACTATAGAAATGTTTTAAATATTTAGTCAAATGATATTTATTAGGATTTTGGATGGTGAATGTTGTAATTTTATTTTCAGGTTACATGTGTAATGCTTCACATGGATGATTATATTCATAGGCATGTGAAATTTGCTTCTTATTTAAAATCTTTTTAAAATGTTGTGAATCATGTGTTTTTAAAAAATATGTAAAACATTAGTAACCATGATAAATATATCATATACACTAGCCTAGAAAGCAGTCCCCCTATAAGTCAGTGGTATTTTTTCTGATTAATTTGGAAGAATTAGCCATAGACTTGTTTATAATTTGGTGTAGTTTTTTTTTTTTGGGGGGGTGTGTAGAATCTGTAACCAGTTTTGGATTAATAATCTATTTGTATTTACCAGTATTTCAGAGTTATATTGTAAGATCTTGATTTCCTGCATAAGATTAAGTTTACGAAAGAATATCATTGTAGTCGTTACACTGTTACTATTTTTCCTCTTCCAGAATAAATATAAACTTTCTAAGATTTGCCTATAAGTTGGACCTTGACTTTTTTGGGTTCAAAATTTAACTCCAAAAAATCTTACTTTATTGAGGAGAGTATATATGGTTGCATAATTTTAATTAATACAGGTGTATATAGAATAAAGCTTGAAATAGTTATTTTTATAACTATAACTGATGTAACACTTTCAGTCCAAACAATGATGGAATTACTCCGGTACACCAGGCAGCATCTGAGGGACATGTTCAATGCCTCAAACTTCTGATCGAAATCGGAGCTAAAATTGATGGAAAAGACATCCGAGGGCATACACCACTAGATCTTGCCAAACTCTGGGGGCACAAGAAATGTGCCAGGTCAGAATTACTTCTTAACAAGAAATATTCTTGATTTTACATGTACATGGCACGCCAAATTCAAAAAAATGAGCTAAACATAGTTTCATAGCCGATAAACTAGGTTTATCAGTTGTAAACTATAGTTTATGGACAACTATAGTTTAGTTTAAACTGTAAACTATAGTTAATTACGTTAATCTATAGTTTACATCTGTAAACCATAGTTAATGCGATAATCTATGTTTCAGAACTGTAAACCATACTTAACACTGAAAACAATCATTTGTGATTGCAAAACATAGATTATCTGATAAAAACAGTTTCATGATTTGTAAACTATGGTTTACAACTCTTAACTATACTTATAACAATCTGATAAATATAATTTCACAACTCTTAACTATAGTTCACGATTGTAAATTATAGTTTACAGACGTGAATCTATGTTTATCAACAAAATCTATTGTTAGCATTTTATTACATACAGATAAACTTAGTTTAGCATTTGTGAACTATAGTTAACAAACATTAAATATAGTTTTACAATTGTTAACTATAGTTCACGGTTTGTAATCTATAGTTTACAGTCGATAAACCAAGTTTATCAACTGTGAAACTATGTTTAATCATTTTTGTGAAATTGGCATGCCATACACATACTTGTTGATAAACTTCACATGTCTGCATGCATGTACATGTACATGATACAAGGAAATGTTCAACCTAAGTTTTATTTTTGCCCCTTAATTTCTCCCTTCTTGGAAGTAGTGGGTGAATTTAAACCGAGACAATTTTAATTCAAAATAAAAAGTGTATGACTTTTAAAAGGGGAATATTGTTTGCAAATGTGAAAGGGCAAGAATAACCCTGTATACATTACAATATTTTTTTCGAAATCAAGAGCATACTTCTTGTCAAAAAATGTATAAGTTAACCAAAATAATCAGTAATTGTCTTGAAATATCAGTAATATTGGGGTGCCAGTTCAAAATCTGAAATGAAAAGTTGTGATGATAATTTGTTCTCAGGCACATTTTCTTGTTATTCCTTCAATAACAAAAAGAACAGCATTTTCCTTATAATAATGTAAAATCAACTGAACTGAAATTTATATTTTCTTCACTGGTCGTGATTGTTAGATCATAATTTAAGTTGTATTTTACTAACTTAAGAGTATATTATATCAATAAAATAATAAAGGTATATATCCAGATTCTATAAAATTGAAATGAAGGTACTTTCTGTAGAATACTTGCTGCTGAGCTGTGGCACCAGGATAAGGATAATGTAGCCAAGGAGCTGGGACAACTGAAGAAACTGAAGATGCAACAGGTTCTGAAGGAAATGGAGGAACAGGGAGAGTTTAAGGCAGCCCAGGAATATTATGGAGAGAAAGCCTATCAGGAATGGATGCAGGTAAATATATACACCTGTAACAGGCAGGTATATATAAACACTTGTAACATGTTCAATGCCATAAGTCATTTTAATTCTACGGTGTTTAAATTTCACGATATCTCAAAAAGTACCAAATGCGATAGTTCTAATTTCACGCTGCAAGAAATCAATTCAAAATTTCCTAAAAGCTTTTCAACGTTTTTAAAACTAAAAGTAGCATTCACAATGGGTTTAATTTCATGGAAAAATGAGAAATTGTGAAGATAGCGAAATTAAAATCATTGTGATTATTTGCCAATCTACAGAATTTGTATTCTGTGTATGTACCATTTGTATAACAGTAAAGCAACTGCTGATTATAAAAGCTAAATGATTACGTTTTAGAAAAAGGGCCTGGTACAATCGCCAACTGAGGGTAACAAAGAGGAAGGAACAAAGTTAGATGCAAATCAAAAAGGGAAAACTGGTGAATCCTTGATGAAGCCTAACAGCAAAGTACAGCAACCCAGTGGGAAAAAGAGCGGCAGTGAAAGAAGCAACATCCACGTAGCTTTCCGCGATGACAGGACACCTTCACCTCCAAGCTCCAGAAAGCAGACGGATGTTTCAGATGATCATGGTAAAGAAGATACTGATAAAGAAAACCAGGTCAGCTCAGCCAGGGCAAAACCAAAGTTTCATGCTTTTGTTAACCCAGAGTCCTGGAGGCTTGCACTTCATCCTCCCAAAACAGAGTACATTACCGACCTGAAGGATGAATATCCCAGAGATGAGTACACCATGATGCCTAGAACAAAGTCCGCTCACAAGTATTTTGATGGAAAATTTGCCTGTGTAGAAGATATCACGGAGAGAGATTTGAAAAATAAGAAACTGAAAAAAGATGTGCGGAAGCCTAATTTACCAAGGGAGGTCATCAGACAGGGTCTCTCTAAAGATCCTACACTTGACCAGCGTCCAGTTTTATTCAAACCTATTCACATGTTTGATGTCACCATGAAGAAGAAATACGGGGATACTGTGAAAGGAAAGAGCGAGGTGTCCCTACATCTGTGTGATGATGTTTCCTCCATTGTTTATAGGAACAGTCTTCAGAGAGCAAACACTATTGACGTAGTCTCGCCCCGATCTGTCACCTCAGATTGGCTAAGTGCCAGGTTTCCTAGGGACAAAGTTATAAATACCATTAAAAATATGAAAAATCCCACCATGTTCCCCAATATACGTGGAGAGGAATATGACATTAATTATGGAGACATTGCCACTTTTAATTAAGTTCAGGCTAGACAGTTATTTCCAAGATGAATTTGCTAGGCTCTGTAATCTGTGTCTTACCATTGTTAGAAGTCTTGTTTCATCTGATGACCGTTGACCAATTTATTGATTTATAAATTATAGTGTTACAGACAGAAATATATGAATACTGTACCCGTACTTATTGTGTCCAAAAAAAGTATTGCTGGCCAATTTGCTTGAAAGTGAAGAAGTAGAAAAGCTTTTTGTATTGTGCCTTTTAATGTACTGCTGCTATTTGTTGTGTGTATTATTTAAAGATAATTAAAAAGAGTTCTTTTCACTTTACAGAGAACAAGACTTAAAGATATAAACAAAGCCAAAGAATTGATCTTTGGTCAGACAGACATTTACTTTATGGTCATTTTCCTGACTTTTGTGACAAGACAATGTGTATTATGAATTTTTAAGCATCAGCTATCCAACACCAGTCTAACAAGTATTAAATACCAAATAGTCATTCCCAGAAGACAAGTTATTTTATTTAGTTTTCAGTTTTAAAATTTAATTGTCACTAGAGTTATTTTGTTATTTTTTGAAAAGGTTGACAACTATGAATTTTATAACCATTTAAAGAAGATATAGAATTAAAAAAAAAAAATTCATTGCATGAATGTAATTTTTGTTTAAGCATTGAAATTCATGTTTTAGTTTTTTGAAGCAGTTTACAGATGAGATATATTATAGTAATATATGTCTATTTTTGGAGTTGTTTTTTTTTACATTTATCATGTGTATGTTGAATATGTCTATTGATTGTTTTGTGTTATTTGTCAATATACTGCTGACACATTTAACTGTATGATTCTTTTACACAATGTATGTCTTTGATATGTGTATATATATATGCTTTATCTACTCTTTCTTAAGTGCAATTAAAAAAAGCAAAGCTTATTTTTTTTTTTAATTTCTAGATAGATTAAATAAATAGATGACATCGTTTTAAATAAGGGCATTTTCTTTATGCACTACCTTTTTAGGTCATCTTAGTTACTCTACTCACTACAGGTGACATACATATTACTATCAGTTTTTGTCAACCTCATAAGACTTTCAAACATTTTCAAAAAAAAATAATTTTCTGTTCTTTCTCCCCTGGGTCCTAAGGGAGAAGTTAAATCCATCCAAAATAATGCAATTTTCTTTTAAAATGCTGGATTTCAAGCAATCAAACTAGACTTTGGTTGCAATATGCATTGCATTCTCCACCCAAATTTTGAAATTTAATGCCCCAGGGTCACGGTTTCTGGAGTTAGGGCAGGTCACCAATGAACATATGGTGAAAATGATTAATTCTTTCCCCCCACCCCCACTACATACAGTATATAGCAGATAAATGAGGTGCATGATTATGATGATGCCTCTGTCAAAATTGTGAAATTCATGGACTAAGGGTTCTGGAGTGGGTAGGGGAGGGACCCTTGCTCACAAAGGTGACAATGCACTATTCATTCGACAATGTTATCTGCTCCTAGTTATTAACTGGGCTAAACAAAGTAAGAGTATTCAAGTGTGCCTCTACCTAAATTTTGAATTTTTGTGCCCCTGAATGTATTAGGGACTCTGCTGTTAAGATAGGGCTCTATAGATCATTCAGATAATGACACACTTAGTGCATTTTTTTTATTTTGATGAGCAAGGGCGCCTTTTCCCAAATTTGGAATTTCTTTGCCCCTGGATTCAGGGCATCCGGTGCTAAGAAGAGGCTCTTTGATTGATTGTATGCTTTCTTTGAAAATATCTGTACCTTAAAATAAGAGCAAAGTTATGATGAGAAAATGCTCTTTTTCCAAAATGTCAATTTCTTGGCCCCTGTGCTAGGAGTTCTGGTGTAAGGGTGGGGGGGGGGGGGGCTGAATATATGATGAATTCCAACATTACCTTTACATAGTAAATGTTCATTGAAAGGATGGTTGGCTCCCCACAAAGTGCAGTGATATCAATGTTGTCAAAAAAAAAATTGGAAGTGATAGTAAGTTGGCTTTGAAAAAGTTGGTAGTGCACTTACAAATCAAGGAAACCCCTGTTAAAGGTTTTGGTGCAGGACGTAATTCATTTGATAGTCTTCTGAGATAAGTTATTCCCCTTTGCTCTTCATCAACGATCGATTATTTACTTTGTAAATAATGTTATTGAAAGGTCAGTTGAATAAACGTTTTATATAAGAGCATTTATTATACAGAAACTTCTTTCATACTTTTAATTGTTTGATAGAGTTGTAAATAAAGATAAATGATTAGCCAAAAATATATACCTTATCTGTTTTTTAAAGTAGTCCGATCCTCAAGTTCCGAAAATCAGACCATCTATGATTGAAAATACTTATAAAAATATCTCTGAATTCTCAAAGTAAGGTATAATCTTCAAACTTCATCATTAAAGTTGGGGAAATCAGTAAATCTCAAATAACTTGTTTGGAAATGCGAATAAAAACACCGAATATGCATTTAGGCTGAACTGAAAGCTATAGGTACCCAGGCATCTGTAGAAAATTGCACGATTGTTATATACTTTTGCAGTACTTTATTTCTATTTACTTAAATTATTTTATAATGCATAGTTGATAATTTTTTTCCTATCATTGCAAAACACCATAAATCTCTTTTAATGTCATATCTTGCCAATAAACATTGGTATATCTTAGGCTAGATTAAAAGAAATGTGATTTCTTTAAATGAGGAATTGTTAGATACTTGTTCTAGGGGTACAAGTGTAAACTCTTTATGAGACCGTTTCTGAGACTTCAAAGAACATTGAAACACATTGAGATGCATAAAATGAAAATTGTTGCATTAAAAGATTTCATTTTCCAGCTTCATTTTGAGACTTTTTTATTTAAATGGTAATTAAATTACAGAGTTGTCATTCCTTGCTGAGGATCGGATATCCTTAAAGAACAAGCGAGGCTAGTGTGAGAGGGAATCATAGATTGATTTCTAAAAGTTCTTAAGCCATACTGTTTTGTCGGAAAGAATGGTGATAATGAAAAATATGGGTAAGTACAGGCGAAAAATAGATATACCGGTACTTTGATTTGTGATCGAGTAGTTCACTCTGATCATCGTATTTCTCTGTTTTCTATGTGTTGGGAAACATAGCTTCATTCATGACTTTATTTTGTAATATTTTATATACTTCTATATTTAATAACTGCCAAATACTATGAATATCAACAATAAAATTGGAGATAGAGGATCCACTTTATCATGACATATATGCATCCCTAAATTTGTTCCCAAACAATAATCTGCTACATGTAAATAAATTGATATATACTGAAAGGAAAAAGAAACGCAGGGTAGCATAATTTTCGATAAAAATTTGACCACATGACCGAAAATTACGAAAATTGGTCAGAAGGGAAATTTAGTTACCGTGCATCAAAATCAGAATTCAGAATTACTCAACCGTAGAATTTATGACGTCAGGTAGGGAAACGCTAAAAAGCCCAAAACACGTGCAATTTGATAACGACGAGTTTGTCAACAAATCTTGTTGCATTATTTGATGCATATGAGGTATGCACATCCTTTTTCAATATTAAGAGACATTATGAATTTATTGCAATCTTGACACAGTTAACGAAAGTTCAATGGGGTCTTGTTTTCGAATTGCCTAATTAATGAAAAAACAACAACGGTTTACTAAGCAGTCTCTTGTAAATTTTCCCCCATAAAACTTGTTACCCGTTGTCAGAGAGGGTCTGGAATGCTTTTCAATCAACCGTGACGATGAAGATAACGCGAAACAGAGCCATGTTACGAGCGGGAAATTCGTCCTGCCATCTCTTTAATCGCCACCTTACTACCACAAAACAGCCATTTATAGAGTAGACGATTGTCATCATTACATTCGTACGAAATTTGAAAGAAAACAATTCCGCAATTTGGTTTTTAGAGCCAGTCAACTTGCTGTTGTAATCCTCTCACTGGTGCATGCGCACGCCGTTTGATTTATTTTTTTGCATGGTTACCCATGCTAAATATAGCCAGGGTTTGAGAGATAAACACTTTGATGAAATTCCATGCGAAGGAGAAATAAGGCTCTGACAGATGTACGGGAGAGACATTGAAGATAATGAGAGTTTTCGATTTTCACTTTTGGGGGGTATCGTCATTTGAACTTCAATAACTTATGAATTATTGGACAGAATGAAATGGGAATTTGGTTATATCTTTTTGAAAGATGATTTTAAAAGTTAGATAGGAAAACTAAAACATATTTTAAGAAAAACAAATTTAATTCACCTCAAAAGCTTACCCTGCGTTTCTTTTTCCTTTCAGTATATAAGGTGAATCGACTGATAATCAACTATCTCAGAGTTTGCTTTTTAAAGAAATATGTAGTTGATATTACTTACCTGGCTTTTGTGTCTAAGATAGAATTAAGAACACAATTACTTTCGGGAATCAATTTGAATTTTATCTACTATCCAGAATATCAAATAGATATACAAATTTAATACATTATATTAATTACAACAGACACATACATTGTATGTATAACCTTTATTGATGAACCCCAACTGAGATAACAACGTTAAAAACATGTATCATATTATGGTACATAGCTAAGAACAAGAAATAAACCTCTTTTCTATTTGGAACTTGTCCCAGTAAATGTTCCATTTACAGTCCCCTCCTCTCGGTTAATTTTGTAAGTTGTAGACGAGTCGTAGAGGCTGATACAGCAACTGCACATGTTTTGAAATTCCCGCTGAAATTTCGTGTTGAAGAACCCGTATATAACGGGATTTTGACTTGTATTGGCTGAAGCTAAGATAATGGTGATTGTGAATTGAGTGGATGTTATTTGTTTGAGATAAACTGCAAGAAAACTAACCACGAAAAACGGTAACCACATCAAAACAAAAATACAAACAATGGCTATGAACATTTTTGTGAGACGTACTTGTTTTTCTGCCCGCTTGTCCGATCGAACACTCTTTGTGCGAAAAGAGGCCGATTTCATGACTCTAAAAATTTTGACATAATTGAACGAAATGACAACGAGGGGGAGAATAAAAAATAAAGTCACCATGCATCCGAGGTAAACATTGACGTGGAAAGATTCTGGCCATGACAAACCACAAAATGTGTATGTTAAATTGTTGATTCTGAGGGTCATTTCTGTCTGAGCAATGGCAACCGGAACTGGATAAACGATAGACAAAATCCATATGATGACAATTAAGACAATAGAGACGTTTAGTGTAATTCTTTTGTCTGGACGAGCGCAAACATAATTGTGCCTCTCTATGCTGATTATCATCATCGTCAAAATAGAACTGGTCCCACAAACAAATTGAACGTAAGTCACCATCTTACAAATTGCGTGACCAAATACCCACTGGTGGGTTACGCGTGTTATACAAATAAATGGAATCCAGGCTGCAAACAGCAAATCAGCAACAGCGAGATTCACAATGAAATAATTTGTTGGTCGGCGCATCTTCTTATTTCTGAAAACCGCCAACACCACCTAAGGAAATAAAGTTCATTTTATCATAAGCGTGTTCGATGTCATTATCGTAAGTTAAATCCCTATAGAAATGTATGAAAATTACCATTGTGTTGCCT